CTGGCGCGCTCCGTGCGCCAGGGCGAGTTTCCGAAATTGTATTTATGTTCACGCAGCATGCAGCTTTTCCCGAGACCTCCTAGAGATTGTTTTTTTATCCTCTGGGGGGTAACGCTCGTTACCCGGGCCTCTCCCCCCCCCCCCCCCCCCCCCCCCCCCCCCCCCCCCCCCGTAACGGTAACGCTCGTACGCGGGGGGGGTCTCGGTCTTCCCCTCCAACATGCTGGTGCCCGAAGGCTTGCGCACTGTGGTGTGGTGGTCGCAGGCGCACTGTGGGCGCTCGCAGGCCATTGCGGCGCTCGCATGCGCGATGCTGGTGCTTGCGGGCTTTGCGCTTGTACTCGATTCGTCGTCGTCGTCGTCGTCGTCGTCGTCGTCGTCGTCGTCGTCGTCGTCGTCGACGGCGCCCGAAAACGGCCTCCGGAGGCCGAAACAGGCGGCAAACGTCGTCGTCGTCGTCGTCGACCTCGTCGTTCGTCGCTCGTCGATCATCGTCGTCGCGCGCGCGGGCGCGGGCGTGGTGCCGGGACCACGCGGCGGGCTTTGCGCTTGTACTCGAATCGCAAGCCACTGTGGTGCTCTCTGGCAGAGAGTGCTGCTCGCGCGCATACTATGGCGATCGCAGAGCGCCCCTGCCTCGCCATACCCCGCGCATCGCAGACTCTCATGAATGCAAATGGTTGATCGCGTTACGACTGGGAGGGCACTGACCACTCCCGGGGCCACCCCTGCGCCTAGCGGGAAGATGCGAGTACCGGCCGGAATAAAAAAATGATCTCCTATGAGTTCTCGTTTTGAATCCGCAGCGCCGCTCGTCTCCTCCTCACCTTCTCCTCCCTGCCCCTGCCTCTGCTCCACCTCCTCCTCCTCCTCCTCCTCCTTCTCCTCCTCCTCCTCCTCCTCCTCCTCTCTCTTCTCCCCTCTCTCCTCTCTCCTCTCTCTGCTCTGCCTTTCGCATGTCCGTTCCGGCACACCCTCACACGCTTCGTGCCCCCATCGGGAGCTCATCCGACGCTCCAGTGGCAGTGTTCGCATGGTTACACGTCCAATTTCGTGGCCCCCGAGGAACCTCTACCGAAGGCCCCAGTGGCACGGTTCCCATGGTTACCAGCGCCTTCTGGGGCACTCTTGGGAGCCTTGGAGGCCATCTTGGAGGAGCTCGATCAAAGGAGGGGGGTCCCACATTAGAGTCCCCCCCAGGATGCCCAAATGGGCCCAACACCCACGGATAAATATTGATTTTCGCCTTCTCGTCGAGGCCGTCTTGGACGCTCTCATGGGTTTCGGGGCGGGCCCAGTCCAGGTCTAGGGGGAGCGGGTAGGAGGAGGTGTAAGCCCCTCCCCGAATGGGAAGAAGGGGGGCTGAAATCAGGCGATCGCAAACATGGATTAAGGGGGCGTGGATTAGCTACGGGTCCGTTTCCTTGGGAAAGCGCGGATTTCCGCCGCCGAGCGAGGCGGCGTCGGCCGCATCTGGGGGGGGGGGGGGGGCAATTCCCCCGATCCATGGATTTGGCGACCGCGCGCCAAATCCATGGATCGCTAATCCATGTTTGCGCGCCCCCGAAAGAGGAAACGAGCCAAGCCACTCACGCCCTGTGGGGTTGGTGAGATTCGGGCCCTGGGTGGGCCAGATTTGTCCATGTCCGCCGACCGCCGAGGCCCTCGAAGATCGCTCCGCCAGGGGGTGGGTACTGATGGGTCCCCGCCTCGGATCCTTGGCTCCCTGGTACGAGGAGGAGGAGGAGGACGACGAAGAGGAGGAGGAGGAGGAGGATGAAGACGAAGAGGAGGAGGGGGAGGAGGAGGAGGAGGAGGAGGAGGAGGAGGAGGAGGAGGAGGAGGAGGAGGAGAACCCAGACATCCGACGTCTCGATTCTTCCAGTGCGGGGTCCCCAGAAGTCTCGATTCTTTCTCCAGGACCGCTCTTTTGGTCCCGAGTCGTTTTTTGACAGCCCCAGGGCCCAGCGAGGGCCCCTGGAGGCCGAAAACGGCCAGACACAGTCCGTCGTGATCCGTGCTCGACCCGAACAAATCACGCCAGCAGTCCTGTAGACCCCATGTTTCTCATTGGTTTTTATGCCGATCCAGATCGATCCGTGAGGCACAGCTTGGGCTCGAGGCCTGGCCGCAGCGCCTGGCGCGACGAAGATTGCCACGCCGGGAGTTTGGGGAGAGTTGTGGAGAAGAAGGAGGATGAGGAGGAACACTGATATTTTCACCACTCACCAAACCACCCCAACCCAACCCGAAGGCTTCAACTTGCCCTCCATTTCCAGGGGGGGGGTCGGGGAACATTGTAAAAACACATGGAACCCGTACCCCCCCCCAACCCGAAATTCGGGTGCCAAATTCGGGTCTTCGGGTTGGGTTGGGGTGGTCTGGTAGGTAGTCATATTTACAATCGGGGATGGACAGACCTCCTGCCCTGACACGTCGATTCAGGACTTGGCCGTTCCCGGTTCGCGGGAGGGCGTCGCGGCCGTCATTTTTGCGGGTCCAGGTCCGTCGGTGTCTGTCCCAGGCCGTTTTCACGAAGGGGAGGTTTACTAAAGGGAGGGTTGTCCACCGCCGAAAGGAGGAGGATGAGGAGGACCACTGATACGGTAGAGGGAAACAATTACTGAACACTCCCCCTCCCCCCCAAACTCAACTTTGGCACGCGCGCGGGAGACTGCGGTCGAAGTGCATCTCATCAGACCCACCGCCAACTTTGAACTTTGAGGAGGACCACTGATATGTCCCCCGTTCGGTTCGGCCGATAGCGAGCAGCTTGTGTCGGCCCTCGTTGCGCCGCCCGCGTCGTATTGAAGTGCCCTGGTGGGCAAACACACACTTGGCTCTGGCACACGGTTTTGAGGATCACCGAGAGGAGGAGCAGGAGGAGGAGGAGGAGGATGAGGAAAAGGAAAAGGAGGATGAGGAAACGGAGGACGAGGAGGAGAAGGAATACGTACGAGGAGGCCCAGAGTAAACCCAAGACTTGTCAATGATGTTGGGATACACCCTCCCTTCAAGCTCTCTCTTTTCATAGGCCCCGTTGGCGGACAATCGTGTGAAAATCCTGAAGCGTGCCGAATCACCATTCCCAGGATTTCAACACAACGAGTCAACCTGACTGTTGCGTTTTGACGATCCGGAAACGTACCAGAAGAGCATTCCTGAGATTTCAACACCGCGAATCAACGTAAGTGTCGCGCCCTGACAGCTCCTGAATCGTTTCAACATATTTTTACTGATACCTTAACCATAAGAACCAGTGACGCCCCTGCAAAGTTGCAAACGAATGTGCGCGGCGCTCAGGCGAGAGCCACATTTTGAAAAGGAACTGCCCTCATTCCACTAAACGTTTTGTTTTGTGAGACAAAACACATAGCATTAGCTTGGCGAAGGACGCAACCATATGCAGCTGTAAACACCGCAGTCGTGAGTATCCCCTTCGGTGGAGCTCCTTATGGGGGCACGAAACGTGTGAGGGATGTGCCGAAATGGGTGTGGCGGGCGCATGTGGAAGGTGCCACTGGGCCTTCGATGGGGCTCCCTATGGGGGAACGAAGCGCGTGAGGGGTGTGCCGAAATAGGTGTAACGGACGCATGTGGACGGTGCCACTGGGGCCTTGGGGGGAGCCCTTTGCGGGGCCACGAAGCTTGTGAGGGGTGTGCCGAAATAGGTGTGGCGGACGCATGCGAACGGTGGCACAGGAGCCTTCTGTGGAGCTCCCTATGGAGCCACGAAGCGTGTGAGGGGTGTGCCGAAAATGGTGTGGCGGGCGCATGTGGACGGTAACACTGGGGCCTTCGTTGGAGCGATGTGCCGACATGGGTGGACTTGCGGTGAGGAGAGGCACGGACGGGAGAAGGAGGAGGAGGAGGAGGAGGAGGAGGAAGAGGAGGAGGAGAGTAACGCGGGGCATCGTCTCTTCAGAACGAGGACCCAAAACCACAGGATGGTCGGGGAAAAAACGCGGCGCTTAGGCGAGAACCACATTTTGAAAAGGAGTCGCCCTCATGCAATCTGTCAAAACAAATGGGCGCTCTGCTACGACGAGAGCCACAGTTTGAAAACGGCCCGCCCTCAATCCAGCCGACTCTTGCAACGTTTTAGAACGAATTGGCGTTGCGCTGAGGCGAGAGCCACAGTTTGAAACGGAGCCGCCTCCCAAAACGTGAAATTATTGCAACTGTTTAGTACGAGTGCTCGCTGCGCTAAGGCAATAACCACATTCTGAGAACCACCCGCTCCCAACCCGTGAACGAATGTCCGCGGCGCTAAGGCGAGAACCACATTTTGAAAAGGAAACGCCCTCAATCCGTGCAGTTCTTGCAAAGTTTTGTAACGAATGTGCGCGGCGCTAAAGCGAGAGCCGCATTCAGGAAGCGACCCGCCCTCCCTCTTGAAACTGTTGCCAGTTTTTCAGTTTGAGGCCCATGCATGGTAAGGAGGTCGCGAGCGAAACGCCCAGCCCGCCCTTCCGACTAGCCTCGGGGTGCGGCCTGAAGGAGCTATCCATAAGGAAAAAGAATGGGGGAGGAGGAGCAGGGGGAGGAAGAGGAGGGGGAGGGGAAGGAGGAGGAGGAGGAGGAGGAGGAGGAGGAGGAGGAGGAGGAGGAGAGGAGGAGGAGCAGGGGGAGGAGGAGCTGGAGGAGACCAAGTCCCTGCCTCGCGCACCGCTCACGCGACCCGCACCATCGCCCCGCTCCTCGGCGCCCGGTCGTTCTCGGGCCATGCCCAGGGCCCCGGGTGGCCGTGCACCCCCCCCCCGAGAGCCCTCGATGAGGCGCAGATTTTTGGTGCTTCTGTTTTTCTCTTGCTTATTTGTTTTCTTGCGCTGATTTGTATGGTGTATTTTTTTTTTGTGTGTTTTTTTGTTTTTGCTCGAAGGCCCGCCGCCGCCGCCGCCGCCGACGCCGACGACGACGACGACGCCGCCGCCGCCGCCGACGACGACGACGACGACGACGACGACGGCGCCGGCGCCCTGGGCCCGCGCCGCCGAAAGGATGGCCACCGCCACGGCCACCGCCACGGTCACCACCACCACCGCCTCTCCGTCGGGCACGGCGGCGCGGTCCCGCCCCCGCCGCCCCCGCCGGGCCGGGCTCGCGCCTCGCGGCGGCGGGCAGCTCGCCGCGCCGACCGGGTGGCGCTCGGAGCGGTGCCACACAGAGAGCAAATCTCACCGAGCGCGCTCCACCACGCGCAAACTGCCTACTCGCAAGCGTCCGAAAAGGCGCGTGCCCGCCTCGATGCAGTGGATCGTCAATCCCCCGCGGCGTGTCCAGGCCATTTGTGAGTAGTTCCTTTTTGCGAGTAGTGGAACGCGCTTGTCTGAAATCACGGAAGCTTGTGCTCGTCTCTTGGCCACGCGCAGAGGGGGGGAAGGGGGGAGGGGGTGGTTTTCTTAGAAGCAGCTCTGTCTCTTAGAAGGCGGGGGCTCTAATCTATAGTATAAGGCTGGCGCCTTCTAAGAAGTAGCCTCCTTCCAAGAAGTCTTCCTCCTCCCCCTTCCCCCTAGCGCGCGCCGCGAAGTCTTGGATTCATCGGATCTTTTTGGGAACCTTTCTCGGGGCCACCCAACGGATCTGTTCGACTGAAGGCCGATTCGGGTTCGACACGAGTCGGCGCAGGCTCGACTCATGTTCGACTCCAGCTCGACTCGAGTCGACGGGCATCCTACGCAGCACCGACGCCATGAGTGGAGCGAGTGGTTCCAGGAAGGCATGCAGACTGAGCATCCACGATGGAATGCTTGTCGGCGACTGGCGCCCAACAGCTCGATAGGCCCAAGCAGTGCCCAGAGCGCCCAGTAGCGCCGAACAGGGTTGAACTGGCGCCCAACAGATTGGGGGCCCATGCCAAGAAACACCCTGCTGGCCTCCAGGGTGCCCTGTGTTTCTTGGGGTTCGATGGCTTTGATGTGGAAGGTGCGACGTTCCCACGCCAAAAGTAGATGGACGTCCTGGGGTCTCAGGGTTGGGATTCTTGTGGAAGGTTTGTGGACTCGCCTCCTACTGTAGTGCCCAGCAGCGCCATGTGAAGGAGCGCTTTGCGCGCGACTGGGCGCGATATGGGGCGCCATGGGGACGACCAAGAGCTTCCGTTGGTCGCTTTCTGGGGGCCCGAGGACAACGGCGGCGCCCCCCGCGTCGCGTCGCGGAGAACCCTGCAGCTCGGTACGGTCGGATGCTTCCATACGTAGACGCTTCGCCTAACCCCACCAGCCCATCCAGACACGATACCCAGCCGAGTTGTCCTGACCAGAGAAGTGGAGGAGCATGCACTGGAATCAAAGGCTGGGGAAGCCGTCATACCCCAGGCGGGGGAGGATGGAAGGAGGAGGAGGATGATGAGGAGGAGGAGGAGAAATAGAAGGAGTAGGATGGATAGGAGCAGTGGGGGGATAGGAATAGGGGGAGGGGGGAGGAGGGGGAAATATGTGGATGCGGAAGAGGAGGAGGAGGAGGAGGAGGAGGAGGAGGAGAGTAGCGGAGGCGAGGCGGTGGCGGAGGAGGAGGATGGAGGAGGAGGAGAGGAGGAGGAGAAGGAGGGAGGAGGAGGAGGAGGAGGAGGGGGAGGAGGAGGAGGAGGAGGAGGAGGCGGAGGGGAGGAGGAGGAGGAGGAGGAGGAGGAAGGAGGAGGAGGAGGAGGAGGAGGAGGAGGAGGAGGAGGAGGAGGAGGAGGAGCAGAACGGCCAGAGGCCTCTTGGATGCCTCCTGGAGTCTCTCCGGATGTCTCTTGAGAGCTTGTTTGAGGCATCTTGGGGCGTCTGGGGCCTATCGGCGGTCCCGGAGGAGCCTCTTTGGGGCCTCTTTAGGGTCTCTTGGGATCCTCTTGGGGACCTTGGGGCAGTCTTTGGGCCTTCTGGGTGCCTCTCGTGGCACTCAGGGGCCTTTGAGGCCATCTTTGGGCCATCCTGGGGGAGTTCGATCAAAAGAGGGGGGAGCACTTAATTTGCGTCCCTCCCCCCCCCAGGAGGCCAACATTGGCCCCACACCAAAGAAATTAATGATTTCTGCCTTCTTGCCGACACCTTTTTCGACGCTCCAATCGGTCGCGGGACGCCCCGTCCAGGTTCAGGGGAGGGGGTAGAGGGAGGGGTCAAGCTACCCACCCGCCCGCAAGCCGTATTGCTCACTCCCACCCGCCCTCCCGACACCTATGTTGTAACACACGAGCCTCAGCACGTTCAGCGGTCGTCTTTGGATGGGCAGCTACTGGGAACCAAGACCGAGCCCATGTCCGCGACGCGGGGGCGATCTGCGCCACGCGTGCCAAGCGCGCCACGCGCGCCAGGCACCCCTGGGGCCCGAGCGTGCCAGACACGCTGGTGCATCAGATGCGCCACGTGCCTCCGCGTGCGCCAGGCGTGCCGCAAACTCCGACTCCAAACGCGCCAGGTGCGCCACGTTCGGGGCACGTGCAGAGTGTGTCAGGAGCGCTTGCGTACGTGACAGCATACATCGGGAAACATGTCGGCCCCCACCATCCACATCGAAAGCCAATGCCAATGCCCATCATTGTGTCTGGTGGGCCTGCGCACAGCAGGCCATACGCCACCACTTGACAGTGATCGCGGGGCGGCCGCGCATGATCCAGATTTAGCCGCGAGGTGCATGTTGTATAGTTTTTTGTCAGGGAAGGTAGCCTTGCGCACAGCAGGCAATGTGCTGACACCCCCGCCGTTCCTTTTGAACAAAGCAATGAAACGTGCTCGCGGGCCTCATGAACATGTTTCCAGACTTGCCTCAACATGTACTGTGCAGTGTTTTTTGACAAGGATGTTGGGGGGGGTGCCCTCATGGTTCCTGGTTGGCCGCCGGTCGCCTATGGGAGGGGGTGTATATGAATAGGGAACAGTAATAAAGTTCCCAGTGGAAACGCCGCAAGCTGTCTCGTTCATCCCCACCCGCCCTCGGATTAGATAGCGCCACTCGAGTCTCAGCATGGGCAGGGGCCGCCATCGACAACCGTCGGGAACCAGTGCAGACGCTAGCCAGGCGCTCGCCGTCCGCGAGGTGCGCCCCCACGTGCCAGGTGCGCCACACCAGGCAACATATCGACCCCGCACCATCCGTGTCAAAAACGAATGCGCAGTGACGGCGGGGGCAGAGGGGTTTGAAGAGGCAATTCACTAGACCACTCACGCCCCAGAGGGCTGGTGGGATTGAACACGGTTCGCTATCGGCGTCGCCGCAGGCTCTGTCCCTTCGGAGCTCGATTCGGCGACCACTTACGTGCTCGACTCGACTCGACGACCCTCTAACTTGGACTCTCTCGTAAGAGGGTTCCCACTGTCGCAGGCGATTTTCTCCCCCAATCCCCGAGTAGCGCCCGAAAAGTTTGGCCGCTCATAAAAGGAGGGGAATCCTGGATACACCCCCAGAGGGTCATTCGGACACGCCCGTTCTCGAGGATGGACGCCGCCCCGACCGCATATCCCAGGGTTGGGCCCAAAATCTTCGGCCCATTCGAAAACCCCGCGAAGCCTGGGATAGGGGTCGAATTACAGTAGGACCCAAGTCAGAATACCATCCTTCAAGGACACGAGATCCCCCGCCAGCCAGAACGAAAAGCATTCGAGCGTACCCTCCCCCAGGATGCACCAGAACATCCAGCAAGCGCGAAAAACACTGTGGCCCCCTCCCCGATCCGACCTCGATCATGCACCTCGGTCCGACTGTACCCCTGGCTGCACCCGGAGGGGCCCAGTGGGGTCTGGGCCAAAGGCCGCCTTCTCACGGATGGCTGGTCTGGGGGGGGGGGCTAAGACTGCTTGTCTGGGCGGGTTGTTACCCCCTCCGGGGCCTAAGACTGCTTGTCTGGGGGGGGGGCCTAAGACTGCTTGTCTGGGGGGGGGGGCCTAAGACTGCTTGTCTGGAGGGGGGGGCCTAAGACTGCTTGTCCTGTTATGGCAAAATGTGGGGTAAGATTGGAGTTCGCCGGAACTCGGGTTTGCCTCCGCTTCGTGACGGGCCCGTTCTGGGCCTGGACGCTCCAGGTCTCGTGGGATGTTTGCCGCGGCAGCTCGCGCCAAGTTGCAGGTTGGGCCTCGGCGTGGTCCTGACGGCCCCGTCAGGCCAACCCGAGTCCCCCTCTCCCCGGCCTTACGTCCCCCCGATTCTCCTCCTCCTCCTCCTCCTCCTTTTCCTTTTTCTCCTCCTCCTCCTCCTCCTCCTCCTCCTCCTCCTCCTCCTCCTCCTCCTCTTCCGTATCCACATATTTCCCCCTCCTCCCCCTCCCCCGATTCCTTTCCCCCCTCTGCTCCTACCTATCCTACTCCTTCTACTTCTCCTCCTCCTCCTCCTCCTCCTCCTCCTCCTCCTCCTCTCCCTGGCGGCGATTCGAAGAACAAGAACCGGCACAGGCATAAACTTTTGGTGCTCCGCGCGGATTTCTTGGATCTGCGCTGGGAACCACTTGGCGGCGCCTCCAGCGCCGCCCCTGGCGACGCCTCTGGGCTCCAGCGCACACCCAAGAAAGCCGCGGTGACCGTCAACAGTTTATATTTTTGCCGCTTTTTTTTTTTTCCTTGATCCAAGGACACCATTCCCTTGACAGAACAGCATCGGAGAAGACCTTGGTAGCGATACTGATGGGGCACTGCGAAGGGCTTGGGGGGACTTTTGGACATCGATGACTCAGGCCTGACCCTGGGTGACCCAACCGGGAACTCAAAGGGGACACGAATTGCGGAATGTAACTCCTGTAAGCGAGTATCGACCACGCCCCATTTTCGGCGAAACTATGTCGCTTCTGATATCCAGCCCTGGGACCTCAGTGCAAAATACCGTCAATATTCGAAAGAGCGTGTTCTACCGCTGCTGGCGGAAAACCAGGGGGGGTCACTACCGGTTCGAACCCCTCCCCCCCCCCTCCGGAAAACCGGGGGGGGTCACTACCGGTTCGAACCCCTCCCCCCCCCCCCCAGTTCATCATGAAAAGGGGGGGGGTCACTACCGGTTCGAACCCCCCCCCCCCCTCGAACTCGAAAACCGGGGGGGGTCACTACCGGTTCGAACCCCCCCCCTCGAAAACCGAGGGGGGGTGCGGACAGTGGTGGGGACGGTG